ACCACTTCCTGGCCATGTGAACTTGAGCAAGTTCTAAAATATCAGTTTCACTGTTTGTGAATAGGCTTTATTATGACTGCCTTGTAAGTAAATGAGCTGCTACACAGGACCTGCTTAGCACAGTTTTCGGCACACAGTTACTAAGAATAATCATTCCTAGAATAAAGGGATGTTCTTGTTTTTCCCCCTTTATATTCAGATAGTCCTTGTTTTGATTTATTTTCCAGCTGGCTTTCAGCATGATTTTCCTCTTAGGGGCATCTGAGGGTCAAGTTTGTGAAAGCAAAACAACTAAATGTGTTTAAAGGATGTGGCTGGAAATTGAATCAAACACTATTTTTAAAAACAACCAAATGTTGCCAAGTATACCTCAGACACCCAGTGCTCACACTGGCATTGTGTTAGGTAGGATACTTAGAATTACTTGAAATAACCCTAGCCAAGTAGTGACTGATCATTTAAATACCAAGGAATTAAGCCAGCAATGAAGCAAGAATTCAGTTTTGTTTCGCTGTAAAAATGCCAAATAACACATCAACAAATGTCGAACAAAAAATTCCTCAACAAATTCTTCATCTCTTCATCACACCTAGGAAGGAATCCATGATTTGTTTGCTCACTTCTTGCCTTTTTTTTTTAAGGCATCTGAGAATGAAAGAAAGGAGTGGTTCTCAAACTGGATTGTACCTTATAGTCACTGGGCTGGCTTGTTAGTTTCTGGGTTTATTCTCATAGCAGCCGAGTCAGTAGGAGGGGTTGAGACAAGGGAATTTTTATTTCTAGAAAGTTTCCAGGGAATGGTATTGCTGATCCAGGTACCCACTTTGAGAACCACTAGGGTGAGATGACGTTTGTGAAGCACTGTGATGTGGTGCAGAACACAAGCATTTTAGTTTTGATAAAGTGGATTACATTTCTGCCATTGTCTAGGGCCAACATTATGGCACAGCAGGTTAAGCTGCCACCTGTAATACCAGCGTCACTGGTGTTTAAGTCCTGGATGCTCCGCTTCTTAACCAGGTCTCTGGGAAGATAAGTGGAAGAAAACTCAAGTGCTTGTGCCCTGCATCCATGTGGGAGACCTGCAGAAGTTCCCAGCTCCTGACTTTGGAGTGGCCTGCCCTAGCTGTTGCAGCCATTTGGGGAGTGAACAGGCATATTTAAGAGCTCTCTCCCTTTAACTCTGTAATTCTGTCTTCCAAACAAATAAGTTGGGTTTTGTTTTGTTTTGTTTTGTTTTGTTTTGTTTTGTTTTGTAACTCTAGGCGTGTCCTTATTTGCAAAGTTCTGTTAAGCAAAAGATCTCTGTGAGACTGGATTTTTTTCATTGTCAAGTGGAGATAATATAATCCACCTTCATAAGGTCATCTAAAATGCTAAATTTTTGTTAAACATTTGGTTCGGTATTAGTTTTAAAAGATTCCATCCATTTGCTTTGCTATAAATTTTTTCTAAGTCATATAAATATTTCTGAATGATCTGGACCACTAAATGAATAAAATTATTCATTTAAGTCTACCAAATGAATAATGCCAGTCACTTAAATAATTGAAGCAGCTTTAAATATTTCACCAAGATTTCAATTCTGAATTGTACTGGCCCTTTCCTAAACTAGGGAGTGTGTGATTTTTTTTTCTATTTAATTACACAAGTTGCTCCCCCTCCACTTGATTCTTAGTAGGCAGGTAGTTACATAACGGACTAGGAGTTTGCACCTGGAATTTTAGCATATTTTGATGCATAGGTGGTGGAAGGCAGAGAAGAGATCAGAGGAATAATGAGAATCTGGCCACAATTTTGTCTTGAATTAAGAAGCTATTGCCTTGGGCCCAGAGCCTTGGCCTAGCGGCTAAAGTCCTGGCCTTGAATGTGCCAGGATACCATATGGGTGCCGGTTCTAATCCTGCCTGCCCTGCTTCCCATCCAGCCCCCTACTTGTGGCCTGGGAAAGCAATCGAGGACAGCCGAAAGCTTTGGGACCCTGCACCTCTGTGGGAGACCTGGAAGGAGCTCCTGGCTCCTGGCTTTGGATTGGCGCAACACCATCCATTGTGGCTGCCTGTGGAGTGAATCATCAGATGGAAGATCTTCCTCTCTGTCTCTCCTCCTCTCTATATATATCAGACTTTGCAACAAAAATAAATAAATCTTTAAAAAAAAACAGACAAAGAAGCTATTGTCTCCATTTTTACCTTGAGCAAAACCACCCAATCTCTAAAGGATTTCATTCCATATTGTCTAGGTTGGGGTCTGGTCATAGATACTTCATGGTATCATCTAGGCGGTGCAGAGATTACACTATAAAAAACACCAAGAATAGTTGTGATCATCTAATTTCCATTTACATTCAGATTCTGTAGAATTTGCTGTCTGGACTTTAGTGCATTTTCTCATTGTCTTAAATATTGGTGCTGCTTATGTGAGATGACCGCCTCGCATATCAGGGCTGATGTGCAGCTTATGGTTAACATATATAAAATGCCCAGCACAGTGCTGGCTCTGAAGCATTCATACAAACTCTTTTAGTGGTGTTTTTTAGGTGCTAAGCATGTAAGCATGCAGGATAGGCAGTGGGCTGTGTTTGGTCTCCAGGTTAAGGTACTGGTTAAGACACCTGAATACCACACTGGAGCCCAAGTTGGAGTCCTGACTGTAGCTGATGCAGACACTGGGAGGCAACAAGGAGAAGGGCTTGACCTGGCCCATCTCTGGCTGCTACCAGCATCTAGGGAGTGAACCAGTGAGTAGGAGTAATCTCCTTCCCACCCTCCACCTCAAATAATAACAAACTAAAAATGAGGATGGGCATTACATCTGGCTTTTAAATATACCTGAGTTCCAAATCAAAGCACCTGTTTGATCCCTGGCTCTAGCTTGTAACTCCAGCTTCTTGTTAATGCAGGGAGAAAGTAGTGGTGACTCAAGTATCTGAGTTATTTTCACCCAAGTAGGAACGTTGAACTGAGTTCTGGCTTCTGGATTCAACTTGCTCAGTCCCAGCTATTGCTGGCACTTAGGGACTGGAACAGCAAATGGGAGCTTACTCCCTCAATACTGTATTCTCTCTCTGTCTCTCTCAAGTAAGAAACAACTAACAGAACTGCCAACAAAACCCACTGAGGTCCACAAACAGGGAGAGCTGAGTGAAGCAAGTTGGCTCTGTGGAGTTATAAAATGTGAAATCCTGGGAAAGAGAATGTTGTGAAAGTTGGGCCTGGCCCTGGCTCAGCAGCTTAGCAACTGAAGTCCTCGCCTTGCATGAGCCAAGATTCTATATGGGTGCTGGTTCATGTCCCAGCAGCCCTACTTCCCATCCAGCTCCCAGCATGTGGCCTGGGAAAGCATCTGAAGATGGCCCAAAGCCTTGAGACCCTACACCCAAGTGGGAGAGTGAGAGGAAGCTCCTGGTTCCTGGTTTCAGATTGGCTCAGCTCCAGCTGCGGTGGCTGCTTGGAGAGTGAACCAGCAGATGGAAGATTTTTTTTTCTGTCTCTGTTTCTCTCCGTAAATCTGCCTTTCCAATAAAAATAAATAAACCTTTTTTAAAAAGATTATGCTAAAGTGATTGATGTGTTTTTGATGTCTTCAGGCACATAATCGCAACTACTTCCTAACTTTTTATCAACATGTTTTAGTTCCAAGACTCTATGTTAGGTGCTCTAAGATTAAATGATCCTTCAGTGTTTTGAAACAGATTGTTCAATATAAGCTATAGGATAGGCAAATTGTCTCTTTTTCTTTTCCTGTGCCAGTACATTAATTTCCCACTTACTTTAATGTGACAAGATAATGCCCTTTCATGAAAATAGTAAACACTTCAGGAAAGCATAAATGAATCCTTATGAATAAAAGACAATAGAGTCTACCTTGTTCAGTAACAGGATAGGAAATCCTGTTTAAAAAGAAAATATTAGGGGCTGGTGTTTGGTATAGAGCATTAAGCCACTGCCTACAATGCCAGCATCCCATATCAGAGTCTGGTTTGAGTCTCAGCTGCTCCACTTCTGATCCAGCTTTCTGCTGGTGCTCCTAAGGAAGTAGCAGAGGACGGTCCAAGTGCCTGGGCTCCTGTACCCACTTGGGAGATCTGGATGATGTTCTGGGTTCCTGAGTCAACCCGATGCAGTCCCAACTTTTGTGGCCATTTGGGAAGTGAACAAGTAGATGAAAGACTTCTTTGCTCCTCAGTTTCTCACTCTCTCTGTCACTTTGCCTTTCATATAAATAAAAGGAATGTCTAAAAAAATTGAAACCATACCATAAAACATATTTTTCTTTAAAACAGAAAATGCTGTGTAAGTATGTTAATGCTTTTCTTAGTGTCTTTGTGGCTATCCTTCTATCATATCTCAGGAAAATATAAAATATTTTTTTCTTATGTAGAGTGGTCTTCCCCAGCTTACTGAGATGTTCTGATTTTGATACTTAAAATTGGCAGCATGGCATTCTTTTTCTTCCATGCTCTTCCTGAAGATCTCTGAAGACACGGGAGCTTTCAGAAGGGAATTTATCAGCCACAATTGTACATCCCTTAGACAAAGCTTAAGAACTGACAATCATAATGGTATTTTCATCTATGGCTCTTTTAGTGCAGGGCTCTCCAAGGTCAATGATCAAGGTTAGTAAAAACATCTTGAAGAGTGGAAACCACAGTTTGGTATTGAGTGATGACTTGGAAACAAAAAAGGTGAAGGAAATGTCAATTCTTCTGCTACTTTTCTCCAGATGCCACTTGAAAGCAGATATTCTTCAGTCACCGGGATTGACAGAATTCCTGGCTATTGAGAACCAGTGTTTTATGTTTCTAATTTGTTGCACAAGAAGAGAAAAAGAAGTCCTGTGATACAGAGGGTGGATGGCACAGGGCCCCACTGTCTTGGGAGGAGAGACTCTTATGAACCATTGTAAAGTGATGGGGTATGCAAGTGATGAGGTCAATATGTCAGGTGATGAATGATATCCTCTTTTAACAAGTGGAACTTTCGTACATTTCCTCCTAGGTTGGACAACGAGGGACAGTGAGAGATTACCCAGGCTTTAGCCCTTCAGTGGATGCCGAAGCCATTCGGAAAGCCATCAAAGGAATTGGTGAGTGATGTTTTATTTATTTTCATTATATTTGAAAAGCAGGGAATCTTCCATATGCTTGTTGTTTTCCCAAATGCCCACAGCAACTGAGGTTGGAGCAGACCAAATGCAGGTGCCTGGAACTCAATCGGGCTCTCTGTGCAGAGAGATGTCGTCATCTCCAGCAGCCAGAATGCGCATTACCTGGAGCTGGACCAGGAACAGCAGAGGAAGACCTCAAACCAGGCACTCTGGTGTGAGATGCCAGGGTTCCAAGTGGTGTCTTAACTGCTCTGCCCCCTCCTGCCCACACCTTACCACAATTCCTCTTAATACGAAGCAAAGCAGAAAACATGAAGTCTGAAAATGAGTAGATTCAATTTGTCCAAGTTGGCTTATTAAAATTGGGAAATTATTAGAGGTTCGTTTTCTAATTGTGAAACTAAGGAAAGTATTGGAAACCCACTTTATTTAAACTTAATATTTACCACATTTAGGTTTTTAAGGTTTGCTTTTTCTCATGATACAGATTTATAAACCTAGGGGATCCCTCTTCCCCCGCCATCCCTCCTTCTATCCTCTTACTATTTGTCCCAAAGTTATTACAATGGCATAGTCATTCATTTCACCATTACAAGGTTCACTTTCTGATGTATAAGTGTATCGTGGCATTGCAAGTGTAGGAAAAGAAAAATAAATAAAGCAACATAACATGGAAATCTAATTAGAAATAATAATGAGAGGTCCAGCACCATGGCATACTAGCAAAGCCTTTGACTGTGACGCCAGCATCCCATAGTGACACCAGTTCATGTCCCAGCTGCTCCACTTCCAATCTTTGCTCCCTCCATGTGGCGTGGAAAAGCAACAGAGGAGACCCACATGGGAGACCAAGAAGAAGCTCCTGAGTCATTGCTTCAGATCACCTCAGCTCAGCTCTGGCTGTCATGGCCATTTGAAAACCAGTGGATGGAAGATCTCTTTTTCTGTCTCTCCTCTCTGTAACTCTGCCTTCAAAATAAAAACAAAATAAATCTTTAAATAATAATGAGAATGAGAATCTTACTATTATTTTGGAGTAAAGTTGCATTCTTCATTTATCCATTATTTCCTAGTATGCCAGTTTCCCTCGTAGAGTATATAGCTTGTGTGAGTGAGTGTGTGTGTGTCTTCTGCATGTTGGTTGTCTATGTATACAATAGAACATACGTTGAAATTTTACAGTTGCAACAAAAGGGGCCCAGCTGGAAACCATTAATGTGAAAATAAACAGGTCCCAAAAAAGCATTTTTGTTTTTTTACAAAAGGATTTATTCTAGTCACTTGAAAGGCAGAGTTATAGAGGAAGGAAAACAGAGGGAGATACTCCACCCATTGGTTTATTCCCCAAATGGCCACAGAGAAGGACTGGGACAAACCGAAGCCAGGAGCCGAAAGCTTCACCCAGACCTCTCACAGGAGTGCAGAGGCTCAGTCATTTAGACTATCTTCTACTGCTTTCTCAGGCACATTAACAAGATATCTGGATGGAAAGTGGAGCAGCTGGTATTTTAACTGGCAGCCATGTGAGTTACCAACATGGCAGTGGTTTTACCACGTGCCACAGTGCCATGCCAACTGTGAAACTTTTAATGCCATGGCGATACATGTGTGCACATCTATTTTCACATGTGCTCAAACAGCAAAAATATGGGATTATCCTGGACACATCTACCTGCGGTTTGTTTTTATTGCTGAATAATAAGTTTCTGAGATTTATTCATGATTATGTGTTTAGCTCTAGTTCATTCATTTTAACTGCAGGGTTGTGTATTGCATAGTATGTCATAAGATGGAAATATCAATAGAACATTTAAATTGCTTATAATTCTTTTCTATTACAATATAAAAATCCTGTGATGAATATTTCTGCTTATGTCTGATTGTGCACATTTGTTAGCCTTTCTCCAGAATGTGACAATGATTAGGATGGCAGCGTTGGAGCAGTGCTTATCTTCAAATTAACTAGAAATTTTTGCCAAACTGCATTTGGCCCCGTGGCTGCCAGGATTTGATACCCATCTCCAGCTCCTGAGTCCAGCTTCCTGTTAATGTAGACCTTGGGAGACAGTGGGGAATGGCTCAAGTAGTTGAGTTCCTGCTGCCCATGTGGAAAACCTTGATTGAGTCCAAATATCCTGGCTATGACCAAACTTCACCCCAGCTCCAGCTGTTAGAGGCTTTTGGACATTAAACGGATCTCTCTCTCTCTCTCTTCTTCTCTATTTCTTTAATTTTTAAAGATTTATTTATGTGTTTGGAAAACAGAGTTATAAGAAGAAAGAGAGAGGTCTCACATTGAACCAAGATCTTTATCCATATTTCCCACATGGGCACAAGAGCCCACACACTTGCACCATTCCCCCCACTGCTTTCCCAGGTGCATTAGCAAGGATGTGGATTGGAAGTAAAACAACTGGGACAGATGCGCTTTCTGAATCAAAAGGCAGCTTTGTATAGTGTCTGGTCTTGAGTAATAACAAAAATAAGAAATGAAAAGCTACCAGATCTACATGTGACATGTAACTGCAAGTGGGTAAGTGGGTAAGTTAGGCATCAAGGGACGTAGTGTATAAAGTCATGCACACTCACTAATTAGGGAACATACCATCAATAGAACAGAATCAGTAGGGGAAAAAAAGACAAATTAGGGAAGAAATACAGGGAGTTCCAAATGGGCAGACTGGAGGTACCTAGTCCTGCTCTGATGCACATCTATGAGTGTAATGAGACTGTAATTCACAGGATTAGCACTTAGCTTTGTAGAACAACACAAGACTGAAGGGCAGCATTCCTCCCCCGAAGCCCAGAAGCTAGCCAAGTACTCACAGTCTCTTATCCATCATGACCCAGGCTGTGCAACACTGTCACGAACATGTGACCTTAAGGTGTGTGGAGGTTAGTGCCACATACGCAAGCCCAAGTCTTGAGTTCCCGTTGACATGTGATACCATTCAGATCATGTTCAAGCCTTGAAAGGCACTCACTGCTTTCCAATCGGGTGTCATCCTCTATAGCCAATGAAGTGGACACAACTTTCCACATTTATTTTAATACTGTAAATAGCAAGAACATAATGACCTCAGAGTCATTCTTGGATCAGCATCAGCCCTGTCCTGGCATTAGCTCCTTACTTAACAGACTGTTACTTCTGTGTGAAAATGCATTAGAGAGATGAAGACCAGAGATAAAAATACAAGGGAGTTTCAAGAGATTCATAGTAAAATGAAATTAAAAGGTAAATTTATTGGGGGCAATATCACGGCAACACGGGTTAATCCTCCACTGTGGGCCGGTATGCTGTATGGACATCATTTCTAGACCTGGCAGCTCCATTGCCTGATCCAGCTCCCTGCTATGGCCTGGGAAAGCAGAGGAGAATGGCTCAAGTCCTTGGGATCCTGCACATATGTGGGAGACCCAGAGAGGCACCTGGCTCCTAATGTCAGCTGCTGCAGCAATTCAGGAAATGAACCAGTGAATGGAGGATTCTGTCTTTCCATTTCTCCCTCTCTGTTTGTAACTCTGAGTTTCAAGTAAAATAAATCTTTAAAAAAAAAAAGGAATGTCATCTTTTCAAAGGGAAATTTATCTTGGTACAAAAGAAATCAAAAACCCATGTATAGGGTTTTTATAATATGCATTTTTTGTGGACATTTTGAAGATCATGTGAAACTTACTTGGACCAAATTTTTGCTATGCCACTTGGAAACTGACTTGCATCAGTGAGATGCAGTCTCTAGGTATAACGTGTTTATCTCTAGGGCCCCTCAATCCTACCTCCTGTGCAGGTTCCTGTGAAAAGTAAGGGACCACGAATAAGAACATATCTTTTATGTGGCTGGTTCTCAATAAGTGTCTGTTTCTGTTCTAAGTACAAAGATTTTGATAGCAAGTGTGGGGATGGGAGCAAAAAGGAAGTAAGACAGTGTCGCTCATAAGGATGGAAGAGCTACTGCAGAAGCAGGTTCACTGTGCTCTGCTCTCGTGATTGGAGTCCACAGTGATCAACAATGACCCTCCTCTCCCAACTCCCCTCCTTGGAAACTACCCAAATAACGTTAACATCCTTTTCCCAAAGGCACAGAAAAGAAGAAATAAAGATTCCAACTTGGTAAGAAGCTGGAAGTTAAAAAGCCTTCTTTCTGCATTTGTGAAACCATTGATCATTTTTCTTTTGTTCAAGATAAGCACTGAGTTTTGGGTTGGTGCTGAGTAAAATAATTTTCATTTAGGAACCGACGAGAAGACACTCATCAGCATTCTGGCTGAGAGGTCAAGTGCACAGCGGCAGCTGATTGTCAAGGAATATCAAGCGGCATATGGGAAGGTAAGTTCAGGTGACACTGGGCAGTGGGAAGACAGTCACCAAGATGACCATGTAAGGCCCAATGTGAACAGAAATGCCCAGTGCAACCATCAAGAGCCTGGAACCCAAGAACTGACTTCGCCTGTAATTGGCTCAGTGGCCTTGGCATTTCCTGATCTTTGGGGGCCCTGTTTATTCACCTGTAGCACAAGGAGGCTTACCTTTAATCAAGGGTTTTAAGCCAGGAGTGATTTTTCTCCTCAGGGCACATTCGACACAAATAGAGGAATTTCATAATGAAAAAAATGGACATCCAGTGCGTGAGAGTCAGAGGGCAGTCTGCGTAATAAAGAATAATCTGACAACCATCTGACAAATTCCACTTTAGTTGAGTTTTGATTTCTTCCCTAACTTTATAATAGTTATGAAATAGATTTAACTCATTTAGCAAATGGAACTTACCAAGTATCAAAACAAGTAACAAGTAACACTTTCTTGGTCATTCGATTCAGTTGACCTGTTCAATACCTATTGCTTGGATGCTCCTCTGTGTCAGGAGATATCTATTGCATTGGAGCCACACCAATATCAAAAGTAGGTCCTGTCTTCTTTCGTGGAACCAACATTTTATTTTAAAATGAAGTAAGCTCAGACGTTGGGTAGCACTATGTAAAACAGAGTAAAGTGATAGAGAAGAAATGCCAGTGGCAGGTGGTTGCCTTGCTCTCAACTGGTCATCAAGCACTCTGCTCTACTTGGTCTCCAGGAAGAACACTTCAGGGAGAAGGTGCAATGCTTGCCAAACACACAAACACACAAACAAAACACCCTAGAAACTGAAACAAGCTGGGAATATTCGAGAAACAGAAAAGGATTCTAGCATAGCTGGAATGTAGGTCGTGAAGGGGGTACTGAGGTCTCTGGTCTTGGTACAGAGCTGGTGTTTTATTGTAAAGGTGGTAGAGAATCATTGAAAGTCTGTGAGGAGAGGAACACTATAACTGTTGTTAATTCTAAAAGGTTGTTTTTTGGTGCTGTCGAGGGGGAAGGGTGGGAAGAGAGAGCATTCAGGTGACTAAATGATCTGGGTGAGAAGGGATGAGCAGTGGCCATCTGCGAGCAGCCCAGGTGTCAATTCCCTGGCGTATTCTCCAGCCTCCAGACTCCATTAAAAATCCCTCTCTCTGATCTCCCTCTGCCAGGTACTTGCATTTGTTGAAATTTTATCTTTGAATATTTCTATTTTCCCCATGGTAACGTTTTAATATCTTTGAGATATAGAATTTTGTCTAATTCAAGCTCTAAATGCATGACACAAAGTAGGTGCCTGGTGGACCTGTGCTGCAGTGAATGAATACCCAGGCCAATTCAACACATATAGATGGGGGAATGTCAGTGATCTGTTGTTGTTTAGTCTTCCATAATGTGAAGGAGGGATGGGAGCAAAGGATTACAGCCATTTATCACAATGGGATGAAAAAAAGAGCATGAGGCAAAAGATTCAGGTACATAGATAGGCCTTTGTTGAAGATAGATGCTAATGAATGGCATTTGAAGAAGGAAAAATCTCTGTGGCAATTAAAGCAGAGCCAGGGACACTTGGCTCCCTCCTGTTATTGCTGCAGGAACAGGTCCCTGCTATGCCCCGGAGGTGTGGAGGCGTTGGGCTGTACTTTCATCTGGTGACAGTCAAGGAGATTGTGGATTTTCTGTGTGGAGCTGAAAATAACCATGAGCAGTATGAAAACCTTGTGTGGTAACATTCCTTTGATATGGAAAGCAAAAACCAAATGCCTTCTTAGGCAAGGTGATAAACTGCTCTTACATAATGTGCAAAAACACAACCAAAGGACAGTATCCACAAGCAATGCCTGTGCCACTACCACGTTTAGGGCTTCCTTTGTTGTGGGCACCACTAAATGCTTCGGGGCCCTCCTAGTGCCATGTGGTCCCCAGAGGCCAATGGCCAGCTGCTGTGCTGCCTTCTTTTTTTTTCTTTAAATCCCTGTGGCAGCCACTGAAAGGCAAGGTACTAGGACTGAAGCACCTGCTAGTGAAACCAGCTATGCATGTCAACAATTCTTTGTCTTCTCTTCTCCCTTGTCTTACCCTAGCATGTGACATTCATGTAATCTTCCCCTTGGCTTTCCTTCAGGAGACCCTTGTAAAACAGAACATTCTGGCAGTGAACCTAAAACATAGGTTAATATCCACAGAAATATTTTCAGCATTCCATATTTTTCTTATACATGCGCTCACTTTTGTCTGATTCTGACACATATGTTCATGTTGCTCTAGGGTGACTTTAGAAAAAAAAGAAAGGGAAAGTATTTCATGCTTTCCTCTTTGGGTTTTCTGTTTTAGGAGCTGAAAGATGACTTGAAGGGTGATCTCTCTGGCCACTTTGAGCATCTCATGGTGGCCCTTGTGACTCCGCCAGCAGTGTTTGATGCAAAGCAGCTGAAGAAATCCATGAAGGTAGGAGTGCTAAACAAGCTGCTTCTGCCCAGGATTTGACTCTATTGTCAACAACAGTGATTTGCTTCCAGCATGCACTGGAGATCTGGGTGCGCTTGGATGCTGCTTTGGGTTATACTCTATGCATGGTGAAATGACTCTGAAATGGGAGGCAGACTGAGCCCAAGAGTCTTGGGCATGGAGAATATCACTACATCATTATTTTGTTTGTTTTTCTGACACTAGGAGCCAAGTTCTCCATTTGGCTGACTTTGAAAGCAAGTGACACCATCATCAACCCCATTGCTTAGGTCAAAGGTCTACTGTTATCCTTGACTTCTTCCTTTCCTGTATCCTTCAGAGCTGTCCAGTCTGTCAGCAAGTCCATTAGTTCCACAGCAGCATGTATGCACTTCCCGCAGAATGCTTGGCTAACATTCTTTATGATCGTCAACATCTTCTGTTTGAACTGCATCATATCCTAACTGGTCCTTTTGCTTTCATCTTTCCCTACTTCAGTTCCATTCTCCACAGAACAGCCAAAATAATTTTTATGAACTTAATTTTTTAAGATTTATTTTATTTGTCTGAAAGGCAGAGATATAGAAAGAGAGAGAGAGGGAGAGAGATATTCCATCTGCTGGTTCACTCCCCACATGGCCTCAACAGTAAGGTCTGAACAAGACTAAAGTCAAGAGTCAGGAGCCCAACATGGGTAAAGGGGCCCAAGCATTTAGGCAATCCCTTTGCCACTCTCCCAGGCACATCAGCAGAGAGCTGAATAGGAAATGGAGCAGCCAGGACTCAGTCACCCATATGGGATGCCATCATCATGGGCAACAATTTAACATGCTATGCCACAGCACTGGCCTCTTGGAAAATTATTTTAAAAACCAGATGTTCGGACCCAGCATGACAACCTAGTGGCTAAAGTCAGGATTCCATATGGGTGCCAGTTCAAGTCCTGGCATCCCACTTCCCTTCATGCTTGTGGCAGAAAACCAATCAAGGATGGCCCAATGCTTTGAGACCTTACACCCAGAAGAAGCTCCTGGTTCCTGGCTCCAGATTGGCTCAGCTCCAGCTGTTGTAGCCACTTGGGGAGTATATCAGTGGATGAAAGATCTTCCTCTCTGTCTCTCCTCATCTTTGTATATCTGACTTTCCAATAAAAATAAATAAATCTTTAGAAACCGGTTGCCCACTAGCAGAGATCCCAGTACAGTAGCTATGGACCCATACATGCCACCTCATGACCTTAGTCTGTTGCAGGCTGTCTTTTGTCTATCTCTCTGACTCTTTAAAGCTGTGTATCATTTAGGGTTCCCCGGAGAAGTAGTACCAGCAGGCAGAAGGTATATACTAAATGATTTAGTGTGAGGAACTTACAATGTAATTGAGGGATTAATTAGATAAGTCAAAATCTGAAGGGGGAGGGGAGCCTTGTGGCACAGCAGGTGTTGCCTAAGACACCAGCATCCCACATCAGACTGCTGGTTTGAGTCACAGCTGCTCCACTTCTGATGCACATCTCTGCTAAGGTGTCTGGGAAGGTAACAGAAGATGGCCCACCACTCATATGGAGTTCTGAGCTTCTGGCTTCAGCCTGGCCTGGCCCTAGATGTGACAGCCATTTGAGAAGTGAACCAGAAGATGGATAATATATCTATTTCTCTGCCTTTGAAACAAATAAAAAGAAAGAAATCTGCAGGACTGGCTGTGAGGTACACCAGGAATACAGAGTGTCTGAGATAAACTCCATGACTTAAAAAATCAGTTCTTAATGGGCTTTTTCTCTACTCATAATTACAAAATACCTTCACAGAAAAACCTAGATTAGTGCTTGGTTGAATAACTGGTGACTGCACCCTAGGCCAATTTGAAGCATGAAACTCATCATCACACCCATCTTCCTCTGCATTCACTCACAGAGCTAAATTGGTCTTTATTGTTTATTGTTGGTGCTGTTGCTTGAACAATCTGAGCCTTTTCCTATTCTAGAATCTGTTTTACATGATATTCCTTTCACTGGGAATGCTTTTCCTCCAGGCACTTTCTATAAACTCACTCAGATCTCTTGATTTGTACCTGATACCACTCAAGATTATTTTGTCTAATTGGTTATCCATTTGTGTATTAACTATTCCCATCCAACTGTCCTTGCTGATAGCCTCATCAGACTCGGTCTGTATCTTCTTCCCTAGAGCTGAGTCAAAAGTGAATTAGCTGCTCACATGTGTTGGTGGGAAGAGCCTTGTGTATAGTGTAATCCTGAGGAGGTCTTGGCCGGCCCACAGGGAGTCCCTGAGCAAAGACCTCTGCCTGGATGAGTATTACATTAGGCGAAGTGGTCTGGCTCCAGTGCCCCCTGATGCTCCCAGTCACTGACTGAGAGTAACCTGGAGAGAGCATGACATTGGTGTGAACTCCATGGCACATCCCAAGGCTGTTAGCCAAACATATACTTTGCAGTAACTCTGCTGAAATCTGAGTGGTGAGTCTCAATGGCTGCCACATGGGAAGGCTTATAAGGAGAAGTGGGAAGGATTCAATACACCAAAAAGAACTAGAAAATGTTCTATTATATGCAAAAGCAAGGCAATGTAGGAAATCTGGGGGCCAGCACTAGGGTGCAGTGAATTAAGCCCTTGTTTGTAACACCAGGTGCCAGTTTATTTATAAACTACATCACTTCTGATCCAACTCTCAGCTAATGTGCTTGGGAAGCAGTAGAAGATGGCACAAGAGTTTGAGCTCCTGTTGACCACATGGGGAAGCTAGATGGAGTTAGGCTGCTGGCTTTGGCCTGACCCAGTCTCGGCCATTATGGTCATTTGGGTAGTAAACCAGCAGACTGAAGGCACACACTGTCTGTCTGTGTGTGTGTCTCTCTCTCTCTTTCTTTCTCTCTCTCTCTCTTTCCACTCATTCTGCCATTCAAATAACTAAATAACTAGTTTTTTAAAAATATTTTAAAATTTTGTTTAAACAAACTGAAAAATCCAGAACTAGGTATGATGGCAGTGCTGCTGACAAAGTTGAGGTTCCATCATCTTCAGCCCACTGCTTCCATTTCTTATCTAAAAATGGCAGCTCGGGATTCAGCCATTATATCTTCATTCTGATCAACTGAGAAGAATTAAGGACACACCCAGCACATTGCCATGACACATCTTCATATATGTTATCAACAGAATTTAGTTAGAAGCATTGTTGCTATAGGAAGCTGAGAAATATGACTTTATTTGGGAAGCCATCTGCCAAGTTAAAGATTGGGCCCTTTGATACTGAGTAAGAAAGACAAAAGGAATTGAGGGCCACCAGAAACTTCCCCCATACAAAGACAAAATCAGTTCATGTGCTGTTCATGCGTTCCATTGGCCTTAGTTGATCAAATCCCAGCATAAATGTTACGCTTGGAGTCAATGTGATTTGGTCACCTCAGTATTAACTATGCTGAGTTCTCCAGCCTGCCAGGCCCAGGACACACGTTGTTAAGATCTGATAATCTCCCAGTAGGAAGAAGATGCTCTACAGGACCACCCAGCACAGCAGTGCAAGTATGGACTCGGTGGAGAGTTCATCTCCAACACAGCAGCGTGTTGAATGCTCAGTAGAGTTGATCATATTAGAGTATCGTGCATGATTCTAACATCAGCTTTGTTCTTAATGCCATTTCTTCCTAGAATCACACCATTGATTTTTACACTAATGTGAGAAACAGTCTTGGCAAAATTTGATGTCAGATTACTCCAGATGATTCGTGTTACTTCTATGCTAAAAGTGTGTGGAACATTAGAAAATTACTTTAGAGCCATATGAGACCTTATATTGATTTTCTCAAAACTACTTTTTCTTCCATATAAAATGTTATTACCAATGAAAGATGTAAAATTAAGGGTTTTTTTGAGTGTCCTAAAAAATTAAATTTCCTGCTTTCTTTTTAGGGTACTGGAACAGATGAAGCTACCTTGATTGAAATCTTAACCACCAGGACAAGCAGGCAAATGAAGGAAATCTATCAGGCCTACTATACAGGTTATCTTATTTTCTGCTCACTTTACTACTGTCCCCACATAGATGAGCCAGGGTTACTTTTCTTAGAATCCCATCATCTTTTCTTCATAAGCCATTTTAAGAAGGTGAAACTTATAGAAAGGAAATATACTATAAATTGGGCTAAACACTGAATGGTCATGGCAAATCAGAATATTATCTGAGCTAGAAACTTTCCGTGGTAATTGCATTAATATTTTCTATTTATTAGACTATAGCTACACTGGATTTCTCTCAGCAATCATCACTTAATTGATTCAACCACTCTCATCCAAGTTAAATACTCAGATTATTGTATGTTGTTATTATATGTTAAGCAGATTAGACTCATGATATTCAGTGTGGAAATTAGAGGATCCATTTGGGAGATGAGTGGAGCACGAGAATCCAGCATAATGAGCCGTTGTCCTCATGGTGTGTTTAACATACAAACTGGAAAGCCTGTGACGCAGCTCTGGCTCTAACCCACCGAGGTCGGTGGGACTTCCCCGGATGAGGTCACTGGCCCCAGCCTGAAGGTTCACGTGGTCGCGAAGCACACACACTTCTGACCAACTGGTTCCAAGCTCAGGATTCTCACTACACCGTCACGTTTGATATTTCACAAAAACAATTAATATAAACCCCAAGAAAGTGCTATACTTACAAGGACAACAAAATAAATAGACACGTGGGTAGAGATCTGAGGAAGCCCAATGTGAACCTTCCCCATGCCCCGCCCCCATCACATTGATGTGTAATTACCAGCCAGCAGGCGTGTGTAGTCTTTGACAGTTTTATGGGGATTGATTACATTGGCATGATTGATTGTCCTCATGATTGCGTTCAACAGCTAGCCCCTAGCTCTCCCCAAATGTTAGCAAATAGCTCAATGCCTCAATCTTTGATTACATAGTTGGTCTTTGTGATATGCGCTGCCTCAATTTTGAGTCCTCTTGTGAGTGTGAACTTAGATGTGGTTCGAGGGGCCCATTGTGAATAAGCAAAGCACTACACTTGGAAATTCCAAAAAGATAGAACCAGAATATAGGAACCAAAATCACCTAATTCTGTATTATAAAACAGCCCCTGCTAACCCGCTCCTGGTGCTTTAAGGGAACTATGGCTCCCATGTTTGTGTGTCAAGAAGGACAACTGTGTATCATGGAGCTTCTACAGTGGGTGAGAGAGGTCCAAAGAGGGGGTTGTATTACACAAGCTATTGTTGAAGGGGTTGTGGGAAGTCCTCATCAGAAGGTGAACACCTCGACAGCAAGTGATGGTTTTCTTATTTACTAATCAGTGTCTGGTCATAGGAAAAACAACAGGTATTTCAACAGAGAACAATGATATCAAGGCATGCTTCACTGCCTTTCAGAGGAATGAAATAAAACAGGAAAGGAACACAGCAGACAACCAAGGAGGGAAATAGAGAGGAAACCACATTCAAGAGAAGAATATTGTCCGGCCAGTGTTGGTACCTCAAGGCCTCTGAAGGGTGGGCTTAAAGAGCAAGAGTTCAGATTTCTAGAAAGAGGATTTCAACCGGCTGGAGCTGCCACCTCCCCAGATGGCACTGAACCCTCAGATGGAAGATCTTTGTCTCTCTGTAACTATAAATTTCAAATAAATAAATATATTTTAAGAAGAGAGTGAGGAAGAGGAGATCCTAGGGAAAGTCCTGGCACTTAGAGATGGCGATTTACAAATATCACACAGACAATAGCTCACAGTCACCTCAGCGTCAATTTCCATGGGAACTAAGCTCTCTAGTAGGGTTAAAGGGAACAGAATACCTGGAGGTGACCTTGAGTGCTAGAGGAGAATGATGTGCAAGAAAATCAAGAAATGTTCTCTGTAGAAATCCAGGACACAGCACCCCCCTAGGAGCCTCATCCTCTTGCCACTGCCTCAGCATCGGGCATCCGTTGCTGTGTGCAGCCACATCTTTCAGTGCAGTGCCTCTGCCCCTCTGCCACTTTGCCCTAGTGTATGTGATACCAAGCCACAGCGTTCTCTTCCCTGCTTATCTTACAGAGTTTGTCTACCCAAGCCTTATACTTGGCCATGGCTCTGGTTTTCCTTGGTTTCTGTTTTCTGTCTTGCACCTGAGGGTCTTCCACTTCTTTTTCCTTGCCTCTTTCCATCTAGCTCGTCTCCTAAGGGAGAAATCAGCTTTAGGAAGTCAGCATTGTTTGGGGCAAAAATTTCCCACCAGGTCATCTCTTAGCTATTGGTTGCATAGTTGGCTCTTTTTAAAAATAAATAAGTATTTATTTATTTAATATATATATATTTATATTTAATACTTATTTATACAAAAATAATTTGTTTGCTTGTTTGTTTTAAAGGCAGAGTGACAGAGTGAGAAACATCTTTATCTGGTGGCTCACTCCCCAAATGCCCATAACACCCAGAGATAGGCCAGGCCAAAGCCAGAAGTCAGGAATTCCACCTGGATTTGCCATGTGGGTGGCAGGCACCTGAGTGGTTAGGCCATCATCTCCTGCCTCCCAGGTACAGTGTAGGAAGCTGATTGGAAGAAGAGGCAGGGCTCAATCCCAGACTCTCTGATACATGATAAAGGTATCCGCCACTGGGGGGCTTAGCCTGCCTCACAGCACCTGTGTTGAACCATGCAGCTATTTAAGCTGTGTGTCTGATCCCTTTCTAAGAAGGTCAAGTTTCTGCCACCATGGAAGGAGATAATATAAATCAGAGGGCAAAGCAGCAGCTCACCTACCCTGGCTTTCCCATTAACTGTGCCTACTTCTTGTTGCCAGATGAAAGTCACCATGTTTTGATCTGTTCTTTTGCATCTACCACGATGCACATTCAGAAAATGCTAAGATGTATCTTCTCGCAGCAGAAGAACACAGGGAAATCAAATTACAAAGCAGAATTTACTTTATTAGCTCCTATTCCTTCTGGTGTTATCATTTAAGCTTTCCTGTTTTATTACATTTTTCGGTTTTCCAAGTGTCATTTCACTTTTATTTCATTTCAGTGTATGAGAAGAGTCTTGGAGATGACATTAGCTCTGAAACATCTGGTGACTTCCGGAAAGCTTTGTTGATTTTGGCAAACGTAAGGATTTATTTCTTACTTCATCATCCCCAGTACATTACATGCTCCGTGATAATTTTTAGGGAGTTTAAAACCAGTGAGATTTCAGTTTTCCTTGTGAAACGATTTGGTCATAGTACATTTACATTGCCACTCAGCCCAGTAATATCTAGCCAAAATTATAAATGTATACATGATGAATGTAACAACTATAGAACTTTTTTGTATTAGTATGTTAGTTAAAAACATTTGGATCAGGTTTCACAGAAAATGATCTGATAACCATCTGACACACAATAATTGCTGATTTTCATTGTAATTATCTCCATTTTTAGAACCACGTTTATATTTTTCTGAGTCCCAAAGAGTATATATTTACTTTGCTAGCTTTTAAAGTAAGTGGCAACTCTGAAACCAATGAATTACCTGCAGAGATGGGTATTAAATTCAGAAATGGCATCTATCAGAATTTTTAATTTCTGATGAAGTTAGCTCACAACTTCATCCTTGATACCTTGAAAAAGCTGTTAAGTTGGACCTGGGAAAAACTGCAGAAGATGCTCTAAATTCTTGGACCCCTTCCCTCCACATGAGAGACCAGGATGGAGTTCTTTCTTGGTTCCTGGCTTCAGCCTGGCCCAGCCCTTACTCTTGTGTGTATTTGAACAATGAGCCAGCAGATGGAAAAATCTCTGTCTCTCCTTTTCTCTTTGTTGCTCTGCCTTTCCAATAAACAAAATAAATCTTTATTTTGTAAAAAACACTAACCGTCTTCCAAAGTAGCCATCAGGCTGTCACATTTTGCTTTCCCACTAACCACAGCTCAGAGTCTCGCTTGCTCTATCTTCATTGATGTTGGGTGGTGTCAGTGTGTGGGGTTGTAACCATATTAACAGGTAGGCAGTACCAGCTCTAACTTCCAGTTCTCTGATGACATGGGATGGTGAATATCTTTACGTGTTCTTTCTTGCTATCTGTTGTTCTGGTGAAGTATCTGTTCAGATCTTTTGGGTGGTTTATTATGTTCTAACTGAGATCTAAGGGTTCATTCTACATTTTGGGTATAAGACCTTTGGCTGATATGTTTGACACACATGCCAATCCACAGCTTGGCTTTGTTCCCCTTCACACGTTGGACTTCTCAGGGCAGGGAGGCCCCCAGGGGTGCGGGACTTGCTACAAGTGTCCTGACTCATCCTCAGCAGAGCCAGAGCTGAGTCTCAGAGCGCCTGGTGCCTTCGTGCTGCTTGGTGCTCAGGAGAGAAGAACGTCTCAGACGCCCTGCGGGCGGGAGGGCTGGAATCTGCTACCCTGAAAGCACTGTTCATATTTTCCTCCTTCCTGTTTAGGGAAGACGAGATGAAAGTCTGAAAGTGGATGAACATCTGGCCAAAAAGGATGCCCAGGTCAGTAACCCTCCACTGGTTTTGCAGAGAGAGATGGTGCTCCCTGGGACTGTCAGTGTCTTGCCTCTCAACTGGCAAGCTCCCCATGCAAAACTCTGCCTTCCCTAGTACTGTTATCTCTCCCCAGTGGCTCCTGCCACTCCAGCCTTCAGACTCATAGTCTACAGAGACTACAGACACTTGGGTGATGGCTCACCTGGCTGACCTTTACCCAAAGTGCTCACTCCTCTCCTCCCACCCCCGAGGAGGAAAGGAAGGATGGCCTGGTGCTGACCTGTGGCTCTCCCCACCCCCATCGCTAGATTCTGTACAACGCTGGTGAAAACAAATGGGGCACAGATGAGGACCAGTTCACCGAGATCCTGTGTCTAAGGAGCTTCTCTCAGCTAAAGCTAAGTATGAACACCCCTGGTCATCCTCTTGGGTTGGTGTCAGGCTTTTTTTTTTTTGGTATGTTTTGGGGAGCTTTGTGTACAGAGTTCTGGAAAACAAAATTCAAGACTGTAAAATCTGTTTCCACAGATGGATACACCTTTCAGAACACAAAATAGGAAAGCTGTGCTGACTCGGGGCAGTGGCCACACTACTGCGAGAGGCAGGGCATAGCAAGAGAGGAAGGGGAGTGGGGCTGCCCAATGGGAGCAAGCATTATAGGTCCCTATGGCAAGGAGAAGGTTGACTTCATTGCACCTGATTCCTCCCCTCCCCCTCATCAGCTCCTATGCAGAAAAGCCAGGCACCACAGGGGAAGTCACTGTTCAGGCATTGATTCTGATTGGCATTCAGCTCTGATAGGAAGGCCAATGTGGGACGGAGAGCACCAACTTGCCTTGTCAGACCAACCCTCACATGGAACTCCTGAGCAGCGACACTCTGACCGATACACCTCCCCAGCCCTCTGGAAGCAGCAGCCCCCAGAGGCCCTGGGCTCCCTTTGCTAGGAACTCTTTCAAATGTGACTTCCAGGAGTTACAGGGCAACCCAGTGCCTGCCTATGTCCCTGCTAGGTGGGTGGTGAGAACAAGAGACCTAAGTGACGAAGTCACAGTACTATGACTTTTTAATTCTGAAATTGTTCTTCCCCAATTTGGATATTAAAGGCACATTTATTTTGTAAAATATTGGTGATGTATAATAGAGTTGCTGGTTTTTTTTAAAGATTTTTTTTATTGGAAAGGCAGATATACAGAGAGGAGAGACAGAGAGGAAGATCTTCCGTCCGATGATTCACTCCCCAAGTGAGCGCAATGGCAGATGCTATGCCAATCCAAAGCCAGGAACCTCTTCCGGGTCTCCCATGTGGGCACAGGATCCCAAAGCTTTGGGCCGTCCTCGACTGCTTTCCCGGGCCACAGGCAGGGAGCTGGATGGGAAGCAGGGCTGCCGGGATTAGAACCGGTGCCCATATGGGATCCCGGGCGTGCAAGGCGAGGACCTTAACTACTGCACCACCGCGCCGGGCCCTATAGTTGCTTTTTTATTGGAGAAATAAAGATGAAATGATGCTAATCCTCTACCCCCCGCCCCCATTTTTTTTTTCAAAAGTCACTCAGCTTACAGAGTGTATCTGATACCTGGATACATACGAGTATTTTCTTTTTTCTTTAAGCATTTGTTTAGGGGCTAGTGCTGTGGCACAATGGCATAAGGTGCCACCTGCAGTGCAGCATCCCATATGGGTGCTGGTTCATGTCCCAGCTGCTCCGTTTCAATCCAGCTGTCTGCTATATGCCTAGGAAAACAGCAGAAGATAGCCCAACTGCTTCGGCTTCTGCACTTACGTGAGAGACCTGAAAGAAGCTCCTGGCTCCTGGTTTCAGACCAGCCCAGCTCCTGCAATTGCAGCCATTTAGGGAGTGAACCAGGGCATAAGAGAGTTCTCTCTCTGTCTCTGTCTCTCCCTCTTTCTTTCTGTAACTACATCTTTCAAGTAAATAAATAAATCAAAAATTTATCTATATGAAAGGCAGAAGGTGGGGGAGACAGAGAAAGAAAGAGATTTCCCACTTCTGGTTTACTCCCCACATAATTTCAATTAAAGCCAAGAGCCTGGAGCTTCCTCCTAGTCTCCCAGGTCAATGCCGGGATCCAAGCATTTGGACCATCTTCCGCTGCTTTCCCAGGTGCGTTAGGAGGGAGCAGGATTGGAACGAAAGCAACCAGGATTCAAACTGACACCAGACATGAGATGCTGACACTGCAAGCAGTGACTTAAACAGGTGTCCCGTACTGCCTGGCCTCATTTAACAGATTTTGTTTGATTGAGAAATCATTGGAATGATTTGCTCAGCACAAAGAAATTCTCATAATGATGAGTCTTTAGCAGATAAAATGTTTGACTAACGACAGTATTGTTTCCCAGGTGCTGCGGTCATTGTTAAAATAGCTTATCTAATTAGAGGAGTTATTTATCACTTAGCCTTTCTGCCTTTTATGAATGTCTCATCTGGGAGGAAGGAAGAGAAAGAGTTCATTGAAGAAAATGGCCTGTGTCATTCAGGCTTATTATAGATCTGAGTTTTTTTTAAAAAAGAAACAAAAATCAGTAATTTCTGTTCTCAGAGCTGGGTGTTTTTGAAGGAGTTTTAGAGGTTACAAATTAAAAAAAAAAAGAAAATACATTCAGGTGTGGTTAACTAGGATGCTTTATATCTGTGGTGCTATTTTTTTTCAGCCTTTGATGAATACAGAAATATTAGCCAGAAGGACATTGAGGACAGCATAAAAGGAGAATTATCGGGGCATTTTGAAGACTTACTGCTGGCCATAGGTAAGCCCTTGAGTGCTAATGAAGTGAGTTACGGTGCACTTCTTTTAACTCAGTGTCAAAGTGAGCTTCTTTCATGTAAGAATTCTGACTGATCTGGCTCCCACGGAGACCCCTCACAGCCCACAGTGCACACCGCAGGCTCAACAAATATTGCTAAATAGACACATATGGAACTTGTCTGTTTAGCCATTGCTTTCCTTTTTAAATTTTATTTGTTTTGCCGCCATGTTTAACTTGTAGATTTTTTGAGAGCCGAAGTATTAGATTTCTACTGGCATTTTTATAGAAGTTTATTGAAAACTGAAACCTTATCAAATTCAGTCATTCGCCATATGTGATTATTGACGGAATATATCAGCAGCCTCCCAATGCTGAGCCCAGCTCAGAAGTACGGGTCTCGTTCCCCTTGCTCTAGTGAGCAGGAGCTACATCAAAAGGAAAGTATATTTCAGGCCAAATCCGTTCCTACAAGCATGTGCATTAGCAAGCAGTCAAATCAGTGTTTTGAGCCCATCTCTCTTCTCAGTGGGGTCTCAGCACTTTGACCTTGGACGTAGCTGGAGCACAAGAAAAGTTCATTCAACAGGATGAGCCACTTTCACAATATAGGCTCCTGACCTTTCCCATCAAAGCTGCCGAGCCTGTTAAATGCTCATACACACATGGGACTGTTCCAGATTCTAATCCACTCCAACGGCAGGTGGCTATTGGGTAGGAACACCTGTACGCCACACCCCTTGCCACTGCACCCAAGGAGAAGTCACTTCTGCAGTGTGCTGGTCATGAACAGTGGATGCTTGAGAATCCACTCCTATGCAGTAGACCCTCTGCTATGTCACTCACATGTTAATTAATGACCCCTCAGGAGGGGGAATTCCCAATTAGAGTGCTACATTTTTTTAAAAGATGTATTTACGTTACTTGAAAATCAAAGTTACACAGAGAAAGACGAAGAGACAGACTGAGAAATCTCTTCCAAATGCTGGTTCACTCTCCAGGGACTGCAATGGCCAAACCTGGGTCCTTCCAAAGCTAGGAACGTCTTCTGGGTCTCCCAGGCAGGTTCAGAGGCCATCCTCCACTGCTTCCCCAGGTCATTAGCAGGGAGCTGGCTAGGAAGTGGAGCATCCTGGACTGGAACTGGTATCCATATGGATGCTGGCACAGCAGGTAGACAATTAGTATTCTCTGGCACTGTGCTGGTACTCCTAATTCTATTTATAAATAAACCATTCTGTAGCACTTCTCATGTACTTAATGTTGAGTTTAACTCAGCTATGAGATAAAAATTTAAGTCCAATGATGGTTCTAGGAAACATTATTATTTCTCCTTGGTAACCGTGGCAAAGCTGGGGCATACAGAAGTTAACTTCTGCAGCTCACTCAGGCAGCCCAGGACAGAAGGCTTCCCCAGTCGGTGTCGTTAGCCCAGCCATACAAATGTGCTGCAGGCCAGACTTAGGCTGAAACACAGGCTGCTTGCAAGTTCTTTCAAATTAGACCCACAAGCAGCCCCTGCAAGCTGCACGCTCTGCCCCGAGGTCTTTGTCCACATGTGTTATTTCACTTCACGTCTGCCCTGCTTTTCAATACCAACAGCAGGGATGTTTTTCCATGGGCAGGTTCGAAAGGTCAATACTGTTGACTCCAATTGAATTGCTAAACTGTAGGCCAGGAAAAAGGGCATTGACACGAGTCTTCTTAATTAGCTCTGAGAATGTTGCAGTTGCAATGATAGAGCCAATTAAATTTTTTATTTTATATTCCGCTTTTTACTTTCCCTGTTCTGGTTGAATGATAATATTTGAAAAACTTTAATGAGATGTAATATTCTCACTCACCAAGTTTAGAGCATTCTTGGAAACACATCTTGGATTGCACTTAAATCTGGGCTATCACATACATTCTCTTTATCGAGTCACAAAAGGCTATGAAGTCATGGCTGCCTCATGCAAGAATTTGCACCTGTACTGGGAAAGGTTCATGGACCCAGCAAAACGAAGTTGCATCTTGGTCATGGATTACAATGTCTCTGATTCCTCTGCAAAAGCATTATCTGGGAGACATAGCCCAGGAAACCCAGAATATCAATAAAATCTACACTTACTACATGGAAGAAAATCCTGCCGGTGAAAATCTATAAATCCCACAAAATCTCAGTGGTGACGCAAGCCCCATCTCGAGGCAACTTGGAAGTGACAGGTTTGATGTCAGGGAAGGTGCCTGGTGAAGCCATGGTCAAGATGAACAGATTTGCTTTGCCCGTAGGGGGCGCTGAAACCAAGTAAATGCACAGACTGCTGCATGTGAGTGCAGGGCTGCACATCTGAGATGCCAAACAGCTCAGCTGCCTTGAAAATGCGGTTGGCATGTCTCACGGCCACATTGGCCATGCTGCTTTCTGGGGCCAAAATTCACACGCAAATGCTCAAGCAGCAATTCAGAGCCATGAAGATGGATCCAGCAAGAATGATACCTGTGGGAAAAGTTGATCTTGGAGCCTAACGGCTACAGACCTCCTGATGAAGGATTTTCTGAGTACCAGACTACCCCCATTTAATCAAATAGAAGGCTTTGGTATACGCTGCACACAATGTCGTGTCTTGGTCATCTCTCTGGCTCTCACTGAGCACGCTTTTGTTCCATTAATACTGGGTGCACACACTGAGTTCCCCTAGCTTACTTCCTAAGGCAGCCTTTTCCATTGGTCAGATCTCTGATTTGTCTGAAGTTTGAGTTGTTAGAAGCCCAGATGGGATGAAACAGTTTCATGTTGGGTTTAAAATGTATGCGCAAAACCCAGACAGATAGGTAAAGCCACAAGAAGCCGTTACACCAAGAGGATCATAGCAGCCGTCCATGGACTGATGCCTCATGTGATGAAGCATAAACTGCTTAATAAATTAACATCTCATACGCAGTCATTGAGTAAAACTTTTGCCTGAAACCTAATATGACAAAAGAAATTATTTCTCAAGAAATAATTTGAAACCAGTTATCAAAAATCTGATTAGAAATATTAAGATGCTGTGAAGTGTCCTGTAATAACATTTTTTAAAATGAAGGGGCAAAAAAAGGCTTTATGTTTAAACTCAAATTCAAAATATTTACACTGATTCTCTATTTCTGGACTATTAAAAGTTCTTTATGAAAACATATTCATTAAGCTACAAGTCGTACCATAAAATTTGCCTAAAGTACGCAATTCAGTGATCTTTTTTTTTAACATGGTTACAGAGTTTTGCAATTACTTGCACAATTTACATTAGGATATTTTTCTCCAATCCCAAAAGGAATCCCAAAATCATTGGCGGTAATTCCCATTCTTTCTTGCCTCTAGCCCCTGCTAACCATTAACCTACTGTCTGGCTCTGATGGGCCTATTTCAGATTGTCCCTAAACAGGGGTCCTAAAACAGATTGTCAACAGTTTTTGACATGAAAACCCATCCAAGCCATATTATCTCAAAATCAGCTAATATGGATGGACTTTCCTGAACTAAAAAAAAATGTACAGGCTTCTCAGAACCACTGGGGAAAACCTTTCCTTTTATGCAGAGAGATTATCTGACCTTAACCTGAACTGTAACAGGACCAAGCAGAGGGTGAGAGTCACGGGTTTAGAAAGGATCTGTGTCTGACTGTGGCCTGCTGGTCCTCAGGATAAGCTAGGAGGGTGTGTTCTGCATTTGCTCAAGTTTAAGGGTAAGCCAGTGTTCACAGACCCCTGGGGAGGAGAGAGACCCAACTCAAGTTTGACCAAGACAATAAAGGTAGAAATGGGTAACTGAACTCTTGATCCCCATAATTTACTCTGATGGACTCCTGAGCTTTCCTGTCCTCCGTGTGGGGCTCAAAAGCAAACTTCATTCCTTATATATTGCCACCTCCCCAATTTTCAGACATGAAGAATAAGCCTGGTAGTTAAGAACATGAGGGTAAACAAAAGAGAGAGAGAGACTATTATAAAAACAAAGAGTTCTAATCCAGTGGGCATGCAGGAAGAATGAAGATTTAAAAAGATGAAAACGGTTTGGGTTTCCGTTTCCTCTTTTCATTTATTTCAAAGGCAGAGAGAATAAAACAGAGACAGATTGGCAGAGAGATCTCCCATCCAAGGGTTCATTCCCCAAATGCCTGCAGGAGCTAGTGCTGGGCCGGGCTGAAGCCAGAACCCAGTACTCGCTCTGCCTCTCCCACAGGTGCAACAAAGATCCAACTGCTTGAGCCATCATTGCGTTCTCCCTGGTGTGCATTGGAGGAAGCTGAGACAGAACCAGAGCCAGGACTCTGACCCAGGGATTCTGCAATGGGACTTGAGCTCCCCAGTAGTCTCTTGCCCTCTGCACCAAATACCCACCTGAATTATGGCCTCTGGTCACTTTAGTAAGGTTTGGTTAATATGAATCTGACAAAATCCAAGTAATATTAATTAGATTGTTTTCTTCTCAGGCCAAGTTCACATCTACCAGTTTTCATGGTTTGCTCCAGATTCCGTGTTCACGTTCCTCTTTTGAATTTCATTGAAATCACAGTCACAAGGCAGAAGATGTGGCTTTCCGTCACCAGGTCTATCTGCCACAATAAGAGAAGAGCTTATCAGGTTCTGAGCCACGAAAGTTCATTATAAAATCCATTCACATCTCGGATTCTTAACTGTGGATCAGACTTAAGATTTTACAAATAATTGCATTGCCCTCAATAGATTTGTTCCCTGTAGACTTTTCTGTTGCTAACTATTTTCACTTTATTTCAAGAGTAATTAATTTACTCATGGTTTTTGGCAACTCCCTCAGGTTTCTGCTTTCCTTGTTTCAAAATGAAGAGCGGAAACAATATATTTCATCATGGATGACGGGTCTAAATTACAAGCACTAGTGTTAATATGTTACACTGTATTCAGTGTACACATTCTCATCTGGCCACTCAGAAGTACAGTGTGCCATTGGAAAGTTGGGTTTTAGAGCGAGCTCCAGAGCCCGTTATCTAAGGAATGATTTGGTGCAACATCTGTATAGTTATCAAGCTCGAGGTGTTGATTAGAGGCCCGAGTTGTTAGGCACTGAACAATGGTACACCCTTGGAAGATTTCAGAGTTAGGCGTAGGCGTTCAGTGTGTCTGGGATCCAGAAATGACTCAGACCCTGCGGGAGCTTCTTTGGCTGATAATTTTATTTTCCACATGGTGAAAGGTAATATCTGTGCTGAAGTGCTGTGCAAATATAATGTGATAAGTCTTTGAAATTCAGGTTAAGCATTCTTCCTTTCCTTCTTAATAAAAGCCAGTAAAGGGAAGGGGATAAAATAGCATGATTGAAGAATCTTTGTTTAAAACTTATGGCTGCAGGCTAATTCCATTTCTATTAAGTGAAGCCAATCATTACTTGTTTTTTTTATTCTTTGAAACAGTGGGTTGCGTGAGGAACATGCCTGCATTCTTAGCTGGAAGACTGCATCAAGCTTTAAAGGTTGGTCTGGAAATTTCAGGCACATCCTCAAGGGGAATGCAAAGGTGCTTTTCCTTGATAGCATGTCCTATTTCTTTTCCACTTTGACAAGTTCTTGCTTGTAGTTCATTTGCCTATGGATTTGTGCCATAGTTTGATAATGAGTATTCAAATCAAGACGGTTGTAACTACAGGGAAGTGTTGACTAAACCATTTCCCCACCTCACAGCGCCTGTAGGCAGGGCCCAATTTGGAACACCAAACCCCAAGCTTAATGTTGATATCCAGAGGCCTGTCAAGCTGCACTTCTTAAACTGAATCAGCAACTTTTACAGGCTAGTTTGACCCTGTGTTTCCTTGATTATCTTCGCTGCTGAGTGGTGAGTTCCATAAGTACTGGTTCTTCTAGATCTTCAGAGCCTAGGGCCGGACTTATAGACGATGCTTGCCTCAATTCCCTTGCTGGACATTTCCTGTGGTCTCATGTCCACCATGAGTCTGGGTCAGACAGAACACATAGTTTTCCTCAGCTTGCAACTCCTTCACCCCCAAATCTCCAAGGATAGCCCAGGCAGGAAGTGGCTTTGCCCCACCCTCTGAATTTGTACAATTCCTGTTCGTCTCTGTCGTTGTTCACCATACCCTATCTCCCCCACAGCCTTCCTTTTGATGCTTGACTGTGCCAAGGCTGTTCCCCTCCAAGCCTTCATGTTGCTTGTCCTCTCTGCCCAGCACGCTCCTTGCTGTGAACCAGCTGCAGCTGACTCCTTATCTTTGCAGCTCTCGGTTCCGCTGTTACTTCCTGCAAGACCTTTGATCAAACTACTGTGTATCAAATGACTCCCTTGAAGTTGGCATTCCATTTCTCTATTTTCTTAACTGTTCTTATTAATACTCACATAGACAATGTGTTAAATTGCTGTGTATATCTGCTAGAGCTTCAGCGTTATGAAGATAGAGATACACATGAAAGATCGGTCATAGGATCATTCCTCTGCAGATAGGAAAATCCACAAGTGCTCATGTTCCTAGATGAAATAATGCGGTATCTGCATTGAGTCTATGCAAACCTCCTATGTACCTCGGGTCATCGCTGAATTACTTATAACTAATGCAGTGCAATTGCTATATTGTGTGATTAAAGGAATAATGATGACTAAAACATCTGTACATATTTAGGACATATGTGATTTTTCCCAAATATTTTCCATCCCCAGTTGCTTGACTCTGAATGCAGCACCCTTGGGTGCTGAGAACCAACTGTAATTTATGTTGTACCTTATACGTGGTACATGAACTTATGGCAGGCATTGGGTAAATGATCTATAATCACTAGATGAGCAGAGACAAACCCCTTGGTTAGAAATTTCACAGGCTCCCTCTACTCTGTTCTCCTAAAAATGATATATCATACATTTGGTCAGTATACACACAAAGCATCGCTCTCAGATATGCCCGTGTTCCCCATCCCCACTGAAACTCTTCCAGTTTACGCCATCTTCATCTCCAACCTTCGTTACTGTAGTCACTTCCAGATGCATACCAAAGCCTTGGGTCTTAATTTCCTTTCTTCATCCTACTCCTGTCCAACACTCCATTCTCTCCTGTTCCAGTCAAAGAGAGCTTCTGAAATTACAAATCTGATCTGATCGCAACATTCTCATGTTTAAGATTGCAATAGTTCTCAGCACTTGAGATGAAATCAGAATTTCATTTCACAGTTAACAGGGTCTGGCCTTTGCCAGACACATCCCTCGTTACCCTTCTCAATATGAAAAATTCTTGACTAGAGCCTTTTTCTTGTCCTAAACCATCACACAAGCTATTTCTTCTCTCAAAATCCTCTTTCATCTCTGTTTCAATCATTCCTTCCCCCTTGACTGGTTATTTAAGCTCGGTTTAATGGCACGTTCTCAGACACTTTCCTATTCCATGGTCTCTCCTAGCCCCCTGCCAATATTTGCTGTCCTTTTACTGGTATTCCACGTGTCAGATCTCCCTGTAGTCACCTCTTTCCTTGTCTGTCTGTTTACAAAATTAGAAGTCTAACAAATAGTTCTGCATTTTTCAACATTGAGTGTGGTGCCAGACTAGATAAGATGCTTAACTGTTTCTTGAATAAATGAACGATGACAGTGGATGGTAAGGGAATGGAGACTTGCTCTGGTTTGTGTGCAGCATTACTTGTAGCTCGAAAGCGTGGGTCTGTAGATCATTTTGTGACCGGTGACCTGTGTGGTGAATCCATGTCTTTCTTAACAGGGTGCTGGGACCGATGAGTTCACTCTGAACAGAATCATGGTTTCAAGATCTGAAATTGATCTTTTGGACATTCGAGCCGAGTTCAAGAAACAATATGGCTATTCCCTACATTCAGCAATTCAAGTAAGTCTGCTCCTGAAACACATTTCATCTTTCTGTAGTCAGTCATCCTTTTTTCCCCCTTATCTCTTTGAAATGTATCTATAATTCCCCTTTCCTTGTCCATGTGTAAACATCTTTTCAATACAGCAAAATGTCCCTTATAAGTAATAGCTATTTCTCAGCTCTGAAATTTTGAGAGCTGTCATAATCATTCAGACAATTTTTTGTTTCTTAGGTTTGTTAGCCACAAATTTTTCTTCTTTTGTGAGCTGCCTATGCAACTTTGTTGCCTTTTTTTATATTAAATTGTTTCATTATTTATGGCAATGTATGGAAAGGAAAATACACATTCTATAAGTGTTCTTTGCTTTTATATGAGAGATAGCATGATTCTGCAACTTCCCATTCCAATATTTAGGATATATAGGAAGCGTTCTCATTTTTAACATCTGTTAGCATTTCATTGTCTGAATATTTCTACTTACCACAAAACTGATGTTTCCAGTTTGTTCCTATTATAAACCATGCCGTGGTATATATGCACTGTTTCATTAGGTCAAGCATACCTGTGGGTTAATTTTTCAGAAGTCACATTTTCCTGAAGCCACAATAAATACATTGTAAAATTTGATCTGTATCAGCAACTGGTGCCCATTGTGTGTGTCTGTGAGGAGTACCTGAGTCCTTGTTTTCCTGTGGCCTTGACACAACAGCAAGCTTCCAGGCAATCTGCTAAATGAGGAATTGTGTCTTAGTACAGCTTTTTTTATTTTTAAGATTTATTTATTTTTATTGGAAACACAGATACACAGAGAAAGGAGATACAGAGAGAAAGATCCTCTATTTGCTGGTCCACTCCCAAAGTGGCCATAATGCCCAGAGCTAAGTCTGTCCAAAGCCAGAAGCCACCTCTGGGTCTCCCACGTGGGTGCAGGGGTCCCAAGGTTTTGGGCCAGCCTTTGTTACTTTCTCAGGCTACAAGCACGGAGCTGCATGGGAAACATAACAGCCGAGATATGAACAGCACCTATATGGGATCCCAGCAGTGGTGAGGCCAGGATTTAGTCACTAGGCCATTATTCCAGGTCTTTAGTGCAGTTTTAAACATATATGTATTTTTTCAGTATAAGTGAAACTGATCATAGTTCCATGTTCCAAGTATCATTTGTACTTTTTATTATGTGCCCTTACGTTCTTTGGCCATTGTTCCTTTGGGCTTTTTGTTCTTTTGGACAAATTTCTAAGGCTTTTTCTCATGTAACATAGATGATAGCATTTTATATAGTTGTCAGTATTCTTCCCAGGACAGGAGGCATTTATTCCAAGTGGAAGTTTTATGTTTGACTTGGTTAAATTTACCAATATTTTCTTTCTAAATATATATATTTTTTTTGCTAAAAATTGATCCCTTCTGTTTCTATCATTCTGGATGAGATTACTTAAAAAATTTCTGCAGTAGTCCCTTCTCATCACTAGGAATGCATTCCAAGGCCTTGGGAGATGCCTGAGACCTTCATATATATGTAAAAACTATACATACTGTTTTTACATATGCGTATGTTTGAACATACTTCAAAATCTTCATAGAAAAATGCAGTTAGAGCTAACAGAGTAAAGTCCCGGTCAGTTAAAAGCCCCAACATCTCTACCTTCAGACCAGAGAAGGTCTCCCCAAAAAGCCACTGAACTTATCTGGACAATAAGATGCTGGACTCTATGCTAGGTATATGCTTGCAATGAAGGAATCTCAACTGAACTTGAACTGTGGTTGTGCAGCAAGGGGAAGGAATCCACCATAGGGGGAGGGTTGTGGGAGGGGTGGGGGGAACCCCAGTGCCTATAAAACTGTATCACATAATACAATGTTAATAACAATAAAAAAGAAAAATGCAGTTAAAAGACAGTTTTGGTACCAAAGCTTTCTGAAATCCATGAATACTTATTTTATAATATGCATTTTCATTAACTTTTTTTGAAGACCTCTCATATTATAAAGTTTAGCTTATAAATTCGACCCATAAGACATTTAGAATAATACACAATTATAACAATATACTGTGATAAGTTATGTGTGAGTGGATTATCAAGCCAAGATGATGTCAGAGCGTCGATGTCCTTCATCAACTTCTTTGCCAGAAGTGTGGCAACAGATTATCCTTATTGAATGATGTAGCTTCCCTAATAAATTTGATATGGTTCACTCTGTTCCTGATTCTGAGTGCGTAACCATCCCAGCCTTGTGGCACATGGCGTGGCACCACTCATTTCAAGATTCCCTTGTGCAGTCTTTGTAAGGGCTCAATGCTTACGGCAGAATCCGTTGCCATTGGTCAGAACATGTCTTCCATTCATGACCTATTCCTACAAACATGATGCTTCATTTCTTCTTCATATGTTAGCACTTATATACCATGGCCATACCTACTTCCATTTGAAACACAACAGCCAAACAAATATGAAGCTCTTGCAATTAATTTCCAACATCTCTGCTGTTGTGCTTTGCAATCATATATTAAGCAAAAGAAGAAGCAGTTGAACACAAGCACTGTAAATAGTACAGCAGTTGAGCTGATAGCCAAGGTGGAAGCTAAATGAATAATGGGCAGTTAGCATGTGCAATATGGACACTCGGAACAAGAGGTGGTTCATATCCTGGAGGAGCAGAGCAGACAGCATGAGATTTCCTATGTTCCTCAGGAAGGCATACAATGTAAAATGTATGAGTAATTTACTTCAGAATTTTCCCCTTAGTATTTCAAGCGGTGGCTGGTTGTAACAGAAAGTCAATCCATAGGTAAGAAGGGACTACTACACTCTTTCTGTTCTGTTTTGAGTGAAATCAATCTTCCCTGTCCTCAGATCTCAGTTTATATTTAAACACAGACACTCCCAAGTAAATGACAAGTTAGTAGAATTAATAAAACAGTAGAAATGACCAGAAAAAAAAAAAAAGGACTCCATATTCGTGCAGTAAATGTATGACTCAAAAGTCAAACCCTAGGAAGGAATTAACCCCAGACCTGCCTGGAAGTCTTGCATTGATTGGCAAGTTTACTTCTACGTCCAAGATTACATGTGGAAGTACTCAGTCAGTGAGTAATAGACGGGGATAGTCCAAGCTGTGCTCCTGGGAACAAACTAAGGGCTGAAGTTGGGGAGCTCGGTGGTCTAACCCATCCACCTTCCAGGGCCACTTTGACAAAGTGAATAGATGAAATTCAGGGCTGGCTTTGCAGAGGACCTGAAGGCTGCGAGGGATCTTCCCGTGTCTCTGCTGCCACACTTTCTCTGTGCATGTCTGTAGAAAATCAGCATTAGGGACTGTCAGACTCAGGCAAATTCCCCAAGCTCTAAGATAGGATGATGGATGAGCCAGGACAAGAAAGAGAGCCTTAGAAGGCAGAACAGGGAAATGTGGTTCTGGGCATTGAGGAGCCAAAATTAAGGGTGGAGTTCATGCTGCCCACACAACCCTGGGCCCAGCTGAAGGGTCCCTTGTGATCATGTGGATTCTGATCCTGGGTAACTCCCTAGCTGTAACTTCCCTCCAGCCCCTATGTGCCCAGTCATGGCTTAGATCATGTTCTTACATCACTGAGACCAGCTTCAGTCCTCAATTCAACCTTGGTTCTGGCCCTATCCATGATTGCTTTCCTTGAACAGGTGCATATACTCACCTGGTTCTCTTGGCAACCGTTTTGGAAACATCCCTTTCCCACGAGCCGCAGGTGGCTTTTGAACGAACAAATGAATGGCCATCACTCATTTAGTTAACTAGATCTGCTTGCCAAAATCCTTTTTTGTTCTTAATAAACCTCTGAAGAAAGAGAGATGACTAAGTTGAAATCAGGGAACTCAAAAAGCACCTCTCAGACTCCACCCAAGGCTTGGTATTCTCCCTGCCACCTCCTCATGCCTGGTTCACTGTGAATCAGTCCTGCCACATGCTGATCGTGTCCATCATCAAAGGAAGATTCAGTAACCTTAACCACATTGCATTTACTAAGGCAGAAAAGTAGACTCATGTGTTTTATAATGATTGTCAGTAACGAGGTTGACACACACACAGGCCTTTTGCTTTACCGTCAGTGAACCGGGAAATTAAATTAACCAGTAACTCTCAGACCTACAATTGTCCGAGTAATTGAGACCAATTGTGTTAGAAAATTTGAAATATTTGTCAGTGATTAGAAAAAAAGGAAGAATTCATTACTGAAGAGTTTGGTCTATAATCTGGAATAATTTACGGTCCATCTATTATACTAGCTCACATCCAATATTTGGGAATCTCCTGATAATCTAGCCACTGATGAGCAGCATCTTTCCAACACAATGAAGTTTCTGAATTTCTGAGGATGGCGGTCTATTCTGTGTGTCTTTCTTCAAAACATTTTCCTTAACATCCTGCTGCTTGTAGGGACATTTGCCTGTTCATTGTGAACTTTCTCAAGGCTAACTGGTAGGGAGAAGTGAGAAGCAAATGTGTATTTCTTATTACTTAGTAAGATATTAGTGGGAAACTTGGATGAAGTTACATTATTTATTTGGTTGATCAATAAATCATTGCCTACTTAGTAAGAAGCAAAACTCCAGGCCCTGTAAGGGAAAATATCATAGATATCCTCAATTAATTCATAATCTTTTGAGTGGCTTGAGCTAAGCATGAAAAAATAGCTAACAAGATAAGAATCCATATAAAATATAGTAAAATGCTACATTGTGAGTACAGCAGATAGTAATACAGGAATTGAAGAGAAATTCGGGGTTACAGAAGGAGTATTTCTTTCAGAGAAGCATCGTGAGCCTGCCTTTCATATCGTCATGCAGTGGGTGCTTGCTCTAAGGCAGGTGCACTGCTAGTCTGCAAACTCTCAAAGGAGAACGCGCTGGAAGCTCAGCTGTGGTGGGAAGCAAGAAGTAATACAATGCTTGTTGGACTTGAGGACTTACCTCAGGGAATACTGAGAAATAAAATCCAAGTGGAAGATGAATTCAGTTGAAAGAGAGCTTTGCAGGAGGACAGGAGGAGGCTCGTATCACAACCCTGGAGACTCCCGGATTCTCACCAAGGACTATCAGTATGGACACCAAGGACTATATCCCAACTCTCAAGAAGATCACAGGGAATTGGAGTGCCTTTGGAGGCCCAGAACTCCGAGGTCAACAATTCCCTATCAGATCTCCAACATGGGATGGAAGAAGTCCAGATCCTTCTCACAGGATCTAATGATGTCAGAACAACAGCCAGGAGCCCTGAACAGTCTGCAGAAACAGAATAGGAAACTTCCTTCAGGACTAGAGAGAGGAGCTTTCTCTGGTCCTAACTTAGTTCCAAGTTTGGCTCCCCACCCTCTCTTGCAATTACCATTAGGGTCGCTGCAGAACCACCCCCCCACCACCAAAAAAAAAAATTAGATCAGATACAGACCAATAAGGAAAGCTTAGAACAGACAGGAAACAGTCAGCTTGGACTCTCATATACCTTTACTAGGTAGGACACAAAGTTACTCCTCACTAAGGGATTGAAGCTTTCTCTGCACACCCCTTCTAAAACTGTTCTGCTCCTCAATCGTTAACTTATGACTTGTTAGAGTTATAATCCTATTTGGACTATCCTAAAATTGGCATAGTTCTGAAGAAATCATGCTTGAATACTATAAGCTCCTAAATCTAAAAATGAAAATAGACATGAAACAGCTGAATAGTACCCTATAACTATTTTAAGGTGTATAGCAGCTGGTTGTATATAAACTAAAATTGAGATGTCAATGAAGTAGTCACAGGATGTGACTACTTGCATTTTCTAACATATTGCTCACTCAATACCATGTCAATTAACTTCATGATGTTGTAAATTGTTGTTGAAGTTGTGTAGTGGCTTTTCATTGTAGGGGATGATACTCTTCCAGCTCTACTTTCGGACTGGGAATGGTTTCCCAATGAAACTGTTGAATATTTCTGGACAGTGAGATGCTGGACTCTCTGCATAGTCCATGCCTGAACTCCAAGAATTTATTCTAAATATTAAATGCACATTATGTGGCAGGCTCAGGGTTACAAGTATAAGCAAAGGAAGATATACCCATGGAGGTACAAATGCTTGTAAAATTTCAACCATGTGAAGTTTAAAAAGACATTGTACTATAGGTCATATAATCAACAGATTTCAGTGAGGGCATTATGATTCCGGAGTGGATATTAGCAAGGTAATGGTTGTAGAGTCAGGGAACCAGTGGATGGAAGACCCTGAAAATCGAGGGTTTTGGGTCAATTGCATGCAGGAGCCTTTTGACAGTGTTTTATAGACGTTGGTCTTTAGCTTAAGAAAAATGGGAAACCACTGAAGAACTTTAAACAGCGTAGTGCAATGGTCACCAAAAAGATCCTTGATTACAGAGAATGAATCAAACATAAGATAGTAGTGCTTTAAGGTGATAAATTATGATATCATATTAGTCATGTTAGAATAGCCACATTCAGGTTTCTAATGGTCCAAAGAGAGGAAAGAGTACAAGGGTCTAAAGATATTTAGGAGCAGAGACTTCAGGAACTTCTTGTGATGTCTTGGTGTAAACAGTGAGAAAAAGGAGGTATCAATGATAGCTCCTGGGTTTCCAACTTAGAAACTAGATAATGATGTCATTGCTTACAAGAGGGTTAGGGTTTATCATTTCTCATCTTATGGGGAGTGAACAAAGGTTCATGACATTGATTTTGCAGGTTTTCAATTTCTGATGTCTTTGAAACCTGGAAGTGAAGAGGTCCAAAAGGCCAGGAGTGACACAAATATAGTTTAAGAGTCAGTTATGCTACTGAATCTTTGAATATGGATGAAAATGCTCAGGGGAGAAATACAGATTGGAAAAGAAGCTTGCAACTCAGTGTTAGGTATCAGTAACAATTGGTGACTGGATAGAAGGGAAGGAGCTGGCAAAGTAGCAATGCCAGAGAAGGAGGAAAAGCCTGAGCCACCTGGTAGGACAGAAGTCCAGGGAGGAAAATGTTTCCAGGTGAGTGAGATGAACAGTATGCTGTGTCTGCTGACAGAAATGAAAGGGCTAGAAGATGTAAGTGTGATGGATGTCATGGTCATTGGATTTGAACTACAAAGCAGTGAGAATGAGTACCTTGGGAGTATAGAATGATGAATCCATCTGAGGTCACACTAGTGACAGGAGAGGAGGGCACAGAGTAGGATTTACTGCAATCAAGATGAAGGAGTGAAATGGACTGAGAAACAACACAAAGAATCGGTAATGCTCAATAAAATGTGGAAGAGACAAGATGGGACAAGATTGACCAACATAAACCTTCAGTTACTTTCTTAGGTGCAATTAATAGATCATTAGACAGGAATTCCCTTACATTGCCCCTTACTCTGACATTCATATTACCTGTCCCTAAAGTAGTAAAAAAAATATTTTCTGATGTTAAGGGCCAGCTTACCCAGGCTCCGATCCTGTCTCTGTCACTTATTTGCTCTGACTTGGGACAAGTTTACCAACCTCTATTTTTCTCATTTTCCTTACCTGCCAAACAGTATCACCTTTCGTTCCTGTTATACAGAGCTTTTATAAAGGCTAATGTAGTTCAGACATAGTATGTCTTTTGGATAACACCTATTTGATAAATATTTGTTATTGTGAAAAAGTATGCAATTATTACAATCTTTTTAAGCCCAACGTGAAATGAAACACTGTTGTATCAAGAGCAGTGTAGACCTCACACAGTGTAAATAAGGTATGGTTGGGGGCGGGTGCTGCTGACATGTAGTTACTGCTGGGTGTTATTCTTTGAGGGAAGTGCAGATGCGTTTTACTAACTGGTCTCACAACACTGTGATTGGATTCATTTATGCGCCCTCATTTCTTACGCTGTGTATTTTCTTCTCTGTTGGTCCCCACAGTCAGATACTTCTGGAGATTACGAAGCCACGCTCTTGAAGATCTGTGGAGGAGATGACTGAGACGACGGGCTCCACAGTCGCCATCCCTCAACGGGCTCCACTCACTTCTTTCTCAGTCGTGTGCACAACAACCTGTTGCCCTAACACAAGTGTTCACTATTTCTTAACAACAGCACGGGTGAAAATGACAATTTTAGAGTCTCTCATGCATAATATTATAGTTTATAAGTGAGATTTAACCTGGCAGAACGATCTACTACTATTATCAGAGCGCTGCTTAGGAACTCAAAATCTGAGTGTCATTCTGAGCTGCTAAACACAGAGACCTAACTTAAAAATGTTGCTTTGTTAAAGGTAATTTGCCTGTTTTTTAGAGTTTACCAACATTGTATGGTGCTCAGCGCCAATAACCAAGCACACTTTAAAATATACTTTTAAAAAACCACACTTTTGTTATAAAAACTTGATGGGGAGTAGGGGGGTGGTGTATGTAGCCTAAGACACTGCTTGGAAGGTTTGCATTCCATAGCAGTGTCTGGGTTTGGGTCCTGGCTCTGATCTTCCATATCCAGCTTGATGGAATGCTGTGGTGATAGTTCAAGTGGTTGGGTCCCTGCCACCACATAGGAAACCTGCACTGAGTTCCAGGCTTCAGTCTGGATCAACCCGGAACATTGCTGACACTGAAGGAGTGAACCAGTAGATAGGAGCTCTCTCTTTCTGTCTCTCTGCCTCACAAATAAAAAGGTTGTTGCTTCAGTTTATGCAATACTTTATTAAGCATTCCCTTTAAGAGTGGAATAGGGGCTAGTGTTGTGGTTCAGTAGGTTAAACCATCACTTACAATGTCAACATCCCATCTCAGGGTGCTAGTTTGAGTCCCTTGTGCTCCACTTTCAATCCAGCTCCCTGCTAGTGTGAGAAATCAGTGGTGAGTGGCCCAAGTACTTGAGTTCCTGCAACCCATGTGGGAGAGCAGGATGAGGTTCCCGGCTCCTGTCTTCAGTCTGACCCATCTCTGGCTGTTGTAGACATTTGAGGACTGAACTAGAAGATGGGATACAGAGTGTGTGTGTGTGTGTGTGTGTGTGTGTGTGTGCGCGCGCGCATGCACGTGTGTGTGTTGCTCTGCCCTTCAAGTAAATAAATATTCTAAAATAAAAAACAGAATGTAGGTAACACCCAGCGTACTTTTTCTAGTTTTGGTAAAGCTGTAGGATTCGCAAGGCATGGTAAATGATGTCTGCCCACAGAAATTATCTGCTAAACTGTTATTCTAACCACTTACTGTCTAAATGACAAGTATGAATTAGGGGTTGTTTCATTTTAAATACTATGTCCCATAAGAGATATTTAGAGTCAAGTCTAACATTTCCTTTTTCCCCTACATTAGTTAAAAAAAAGAAAAGTGCATTTATAAAACCTTGATGTTATCTTTGGACAGAATCTAATGAAAAATATTTTGACTTACATGAAATATATAAAGTGAATGTCACTGTGGCATAACAGGTGAAGCAAACACCTGTGGTCTCCGCATCTGATTTATGTGCCAGTTCAGGTCCTGGGTGTCCCACTTGTAATCCAGACCCCTGTTAGTGTGTCTGAGAAAACAGTGCAGAATGAGCCAAGTACTTTTATCCCTACACCCAGGTAGGAGATCCAGAGGAAGCTTCTGGTTCCTGGCTGTGTTTTAGCCCAGCTCCAGCCTTTGTGGCCATTTGGGGAATGAACTGGAAGACAAAAGATTGGTGTGTGTGTGTAACTCTGCCTTTCAAATCATTAAAATCTTTTAAAAACATAAATGAACTAAGACATTCCAGTGGTAGTTTCATGGTCAAGCTGTGACAGCGATGCATGTGTGAGTCCTGGACTTTTAGTCAATGCAGTTCCTGGTGAACTCTTTCAGGAAGATGAGGTTACTTCTTGATCTGGGATTTCCAAAAGGTTGCACAAGCCTTAGAGTCCAACATACTTGTTTTTGACTGTCTGAGAAAGCTCCGTTTTTCATCAATTATAGCATGCAACTGTGTCATAATAGCTTCATCTATAGGCAAAGCAGTAGATAGAGAGAGAGAGAGAGAGAGATCTCCCATCCACTGTTACTCCCCAAGTGGCAAGGATTAAGCCTGGTTAACAAGAAGCGTAGATCCCTATCAAGATCTCTTATGTGGTTGTGGCAGGGGTCCAAGTGCTTGAACCATCATCTTCTACTTATCAGGATGCATTGGCATAAAGCTGTATTGGAGGCAAATGTGCCACAACACAAACTGACATGCTGATACAGAATGCAGTGGCTTAACCCATGTGTCATGGTGCCCACCACTGTTATAATTAAAGATTAAGGAAGTTAATGCCTGTAAAGTATCATTAGCTACCATCAAACCCAAGTACTATCAAATGATCACCATAACATCTTAGCCTTTCTTCAACAGACTCCCAATTCACCTGCCACTGGCCAAGTCTCGTGTTGATTGATGGATGGAATACAGGGAGTTATGACGCATTTCCTTTTGCTAAAGAGCTTAAGATCTGCTTAGAGAGAGACATAAGCAAACACAATGCAGGACGTGGGTGTGCATTTAGAGAAGTGGTCCGAGTAGGAGAGAGCAATTTAACCTAGCGAGGGTCACAAGCAACCAGAGAAAAGAAAGGGAGAGACTTTTCTGACAGGCAAAGACCCTTGCCAAGTTGCAGAGCATATAAATGACCTGGTGTGTGCACAGCTCTACCCAAAATGTGTTGGTTGAGGATCAGAAGACCAGGCAAGGTGACAGGTGACCGGGAGGCGTTAGGTAACATACACCTCTCCTACCATGATGAAGTCCTTACGGGCAGGGCAGAATTATACAGAGAACTACAAGACAATTCCAGTCAGGGAAATGATTGCTCTTTTCCTTTGTCTTAATTAGGTGGGAAAAAATATAGGGAGAGAAGAAAGAGACAGGGAATTCATTTAGTGAGTTAGTTCTGTGATCAATATTAGACATGTCTGCCTGAAATATGATGACAGGGGAGGAAAATATACTTAGTAGATAAAATCAAGTAAGTGATCATCAAGGCAGACGAGCATCCGCTATACCCCACAGCTGGGTGTGAATGATGAATGAGCACGTCTCCAAGCAAAAATCAATACTAATATCGAGTGCTTACCAACTCTCAAATGCCATATTAAACAGTGTGGTAGATTTTCAGTTGTGGATCTTCAGTCCACCTGACAATACAGGAGCTAACTAAGCAAGGGTCCTTCAAAATGTGTGTGGAGGGCCCAGCATGATAACGTAGTGGTTAAAGTCCTTGCCTTGCACACCCAGGATCCCGTACAGGCGCCGGTTCTAATCCCAGCGGCTCCACTTCCCATCCAGCTCCCTGCTTGTGGCCTGGGAAAGCAGTCGAGGATGGCCCACAACATTGGGACCCTGTACCCGCGTGGGAGACCTGGAAAGAGTTCCTGGCTCCTGGCTTCGGATTGGCTCAGCTCCAGCCATTGTGGCCACTTGGGGAGTGAATCATCGGACAGAAGATCTTCCTCTCTGTCTCTCCTCTCTCTACATCTGACTTCCCAATAAAAACAAATAAATCTTTAATAAAGTTGTGGAAAATATCAAATTAAAATATACTCTTCTTCTCTTTCTCCTTCTCCCTCTCTCTTTCTCCATTTCAAGTAAAATAAATCTTACCAAGAAAATAATTAAGTGCCCAAGCTGTAAGCACCATTTGGCTGTAGAATCCCAAACCCCAGGATTCTGTCCTCAACACCAGAGTGGCAGCTGCTTGAATGCTCCCATTGTTGCCTGTTGTATCACTGTTGTATCCTTACAATCAGAACAGCACTTGGGACATGAAAGTCACATTATCTTTACTGAACCAGAGAAGTTCTTTCTCCTCTGTGCCTTTGGATGACATCAGTGAACGAGGGTTGCTATTTAAACACATGTCTACCTGTTTAATAGTTTAATTTAGATTAAACATAGTCTAGACCTCATTTGACACCTGAGTCTCAGCTTCCTAGGTTTGGGAAAGGAACCTCATGTCATTGTACCATAGAGATATTTGGAGGAAAGTACAGAAATTTTGCCTATCAACAGAATACTTTTGCCAAACTGTCCTTTACTGCTAAGAGAGATGTTATGAAATAATGGGACTTGTGCAGAAGCAGCAAGTTTCAACATGTGTAAAATCTCTTTTCCTTTACTTCAACCTGAACTCCTAAAATGACACTGCAAGACATTAACCTTGACTCCATTCTCCAGTGCTATCAGGGAAGTCTGTACCCACCTGGTTTTCCCTCCTTATCCCCCTTCTTTCCTTTCCTCTTTCCCTCCCTCCTCCTATCTGTTTGTTCCTGTACTATGCTAAGTGTACAAGCCACCTTCCAACGTGACAGCTGTGACAGCTAACACTTTGACAATTAGCTTACTACGGAACACACTGTTCTCTAGCCACTTCCCACCAGAAGTAATCACCTCAAATTCCACATTTGTTGTTTCCTGACTCTAAGTAGTTTTTTATGTTTTTCATCTTTCATATTTCTTCCTTTGTTATATGTAATCTCTGGAACTTTCTTTGCACCAAATGCTAAGCTTTAACCTCATCATTGAATGTCATGTATTTTGACTGCTGTGGATCATTACATTGTTTAAATTACAAATATAATTCATAGTAAGCCACAAAATTGTCCTGAAGAAAAGGGGGAAGCACAGTTTACCTGGTCCTCTATTATTTATACTTCTTTGAAGTTATGATGATCCACTGTGACCACAAAAATAGCCTTTGCCTCCAGTTAGCAAGGGGCACACTGTGACAGAAAAAGAAATCCTCTCTCTGACTCTCACTTCAAATCACCCTCTGCTGCTTTCCCAGGCCATTAGCAGGGAGCTGGATCAGAAGTGGAGCAGCTGGTACTCGAACCAGCTACCTTTTGGGATGCCAGTGACTCAGGCTGAGGTTTAACCTTCTATACCTCCGTGCCAGCCCCAATACATTAATTTTTTCATCTTTTTAAAAAATCCGGGCTTAGCTCACAGGGAAGCAGGAGTAAGGACCCAGGTTAGATGAATTTTAGAATCTACCTGTGCTTAAGGGAGTACAAAAAAGATAAGCATGCACTGGAAGTCATGATCATATAAAATTCTGTAAAAAGAATTGAGAAAATGAAATGCCCAGGAATGCCCCCTCCGTGTATCCCTCCAGTGTTCTCCATCTTTCCTTGTATTTATTGAACCAGTCACAGGCTGCTGAAAGTCCATGAAGGTGACCCAGAAAACTCATGGGAAATGATCTTCAAAGATGAGTTAACTGGGGGCAAAAAAATTCTTTGCAAATCCGTTTGTAAGGTATC